ACTGAAAGCCAGCAGCCTCCACTGGATCATAAACTCACGATCGCCACTGTGCCTAGACTACAAGTTACTACTGTACAATTCAGTCCTAAAGCCAATCTGGACGTATGGCTCCCAGCTGTGGGGGAACGCGAGCAGCAGCAACATAGACATCATACAGCGCGCACAATCAAAAATCCTGAGAACTATCACAGGGGCACCTTGGTATGTTCGCAACGAAAACATCCACCGGGATCTGGGCATCCTCGCAGTGAAAGACGAAATCCAGAAGCAAAAAGAGTCATACAAAGAAAAACTGTCTTCGCACCCAAATTTTCTCGCTCGGGGATTGACTCAGGTTTCTAGCGTATCCCGCCTTAGACGCAACGACCTCCCAACCCAGCAATCGATTTTTAGGGCCGTCTAACTCCGTATCAGTCAATATGACTGTTAGTTAAGTTAAAAATATAAGATTTGATACACCTCTTGTTAGTCTCGCAAAGAGAAGATTCAAGAAATAATAGCAACGTTAAAAAAAAAAAAAAAAATAAGTTCATTGAACTATTTATTTCCAATTTATACATTTAATCGGTTAAAGTTATCTCTGTTGCGCTTTAACTATATTCTCCAACATAAGTCTCTTTGTGCTGTACTCTCCGGACGTAACCCGTTACATCATAGTTACTGTGGAGTTTGTTGTTCTTCACGACGCCAAGCCTTCGTTGCACATCTCTTTTGTAACGTCGTCTCTTACATCCGATCTGATCGTCCACTCTCGGCTACAGAGTGCTTCAGAGAGCCTAAATTCTTTACACGCTATTACAGTGGTCTGCATTCCGTCAAAAAAGAAGTCAAAAATGAGTCTTACTTGCACAGCAAAAAAATGTGAATTTGTTGGAACCATCACGGGTGACTCATACCTGTCTTGTTGGCTCTGCAATAACTGCTCACATATTAAATGTGCTGGAGGAAGACACAATGGACGGATAAGTGACCTTATCAACAAGAAAATTGGCCTGACATGGTGTTGCATCGCTTGTAGAGAAATTGAGTCAGAGATGCGGACTTTTATGAAACAGACGAGAAATGGTTTTCTAGATGTCCGCAAGCAATTCTCGGCCCTTAATGAGCAATTCCTCGCTCTTGAAACTCAATTCCTTGGGCTAAAGTTGTTAAGCGAATCCCCCAGACGAAAAATTCCCAACAACAACCTGCTGACTGCTAAATTACTGAATACCCCTACATCCCATGCTGTACAAGTCGATGAATTTTCAACACCAAACATTTTACCGTCGCCTACTTGTCTACCTACTTATGCTGTTCTAGTACCTAGGGACTTGATGAGCCTTCCTTCAGGGCACTCTAATATTTATCCCTTGCAAGAAGCGATCAGCGTACCAAGTACAAATCTCGAGCCATCTCTCATCTTGGAGCCTCCATCGTTGGACATCGTTGGACAACCCCCATCGTTGGACAACCTATTCTCTGCTCTAGCTGTGATGTCTCCAAGGCCTCTGATTGGTGTTTCGCCTGAAGTTAGATCTTCTGGACTTACGCTGAGGGCGGTTGCTCCTCGTAAGGCCATTTTTGTCTCTCGGCTTATGCCGGATGCTACTGTTGATGATGTCAGGAGTCACCTGTTAAACCATCTTAAGGTAGCTCCTAATGAAATAGCTGTTTTTAAGTTTAACTTTAAGCATAAGCGTTCTATTTCTTCTTTTAAAATAGTTCTACCTGATTCCTATCTTGAAAAAGCACTTGATCCTGTAGCTTGGCCTGAGCACAGTATCATTCATGAATTCCTAGCAAAAGACACTGAGAATCCTAGCCCTGCAGAAACTGCTTCAAAAAACTGAATAACCTAGTATTTTCCTGCTGCTATCAAAATGTTAGAAGTATTCTGGGTAAGCTGAGCCAATTTTTTACAAAGAGTGCTTTTTTTGATTTTGATGCTATCGTGCTTACTGAAACTTGGCTTAACTCCTCTGTCTCTGATTATGAAATTCTTGTTTCCAAATTCATAGTGTTTCGTTTGGATCGTCCAACTTTTGCAGGTGGTGTCCTCATTGCTGTTAGTAATGAGTACCCTTCTGAAATTATTCCTTTCCCGAACGAGTTCGGAATTGAGTTCATTGCGGTGAAAATTTTAACTGGCTCGTCTCATATTTTCCTGACCTATTCCTACATTCCTCCCATGGCTGAAGATATTGTGTACTTTCACCATCTTGATGCCATTAGGTCTGTTTTTTCGTTGGTCAAGGACAGTGATTTAATAATCATGGGAGATTTCAACCTTCCCATCATTTCCTGGATCCCGTCTGAGGTAGACAATTCCTTGCTTTCCAGTTGTCATAATGACTTTATCGATGGCTTAACCGATCTTGCCCTGCTCCAAATTAATCCAATTCATAACACTCATGACAGATTTCTGGACCTTATTTTTTCCAATGTGTCATCCTCTGTGACAGTCATTCGGTCCCCGCCGCTATCGCTTCCTGAAAACTTTCGCCACCCTACACTATTAGCATCGGTGTTAATTGATGTGCCTCACAATGATGCTTGCTTTAATGCTAAACCTCGTTTCAAATGCTTCAGAAAGACTGATTTTATGGCCCTTCGGAATCATTTAGCTGAAATCGATTGAAATGTTCTTTCATCTATAAACACAATTGAAGCAGCTACGGATTCGTTTCACGAAATAATTCATAATGCCTTGAATAAATTTGATCCGGAAGTCCCAGTATCATTGTCTACAAAACCACCTTGGTATAATAAACACCTTTCTCGTCTTAAGAACAGGAAATCCAGAGCTTACAAAAAGTTTCTTAAGTCAGGATCGATGTGCCATCAGTCAAACTTTCTTTATGTTCGCAACCAGTTTATTATTCTCAACGATCAACTTTATAAGCAGTATATTATGAATTGTAAGGTAAATTTTCGTAATGATCCTAGCTCCTTCTATTCTTTTGTTAATATGAAACGTAAATCAAATCTTTTTCCTCCGTCCCTATCATATAAAAATATTTCACATTCTTCTGAGCAAGGTATTGCTAATCTCTTTGCGTCATTTTTTCAAACCACTTATTCGTCCGATTCCTATAACCTCAATTCTTCTTATCTTTATAAATTACCACATATAAACATTTACTTCTCAAAATTTCGAATTCAGGATCTGTTCGAAGCTCTTTCAACAATAGATATATCATTCTCTGCTGGTCCTGACAATGTTCCTAGCTGTGTTCTAAGGTACTGTTCTGATATCCTTTGCTATCCTCTCACTATCTTATTCAACCTATCCTTGGAGCTGGCATGTCTTCCCATGTGATGGAACGAATCTTTTATTATTCCGCTTCACAAGAAAGGCTCTAAAGCACTTATTGAGAACTACCGGGGGATTGCTAAGCTATCTGCGATTCCTAAACTGCTTGAGAAACTGGTTACTTTCCAACTGCAACATTTTTGTAAAAGCATTATTTCCACTTCACACCATGGTTTTGTCAAGCATCGCTCTACCACAACTAACCTTCTTGAATTCACTTCTTTTATCCACAGAGGATTTCTGAGCCGCATGCAAACTGATGTGGTATACACTGACTTTAGTAAAGCGTTTGACTCTGTGAACCACCATCTCCTCCTTCATAAGCTGTGTCTTATGGGGTTTTTTCCACATATAGTATAGAATAGTATAGTGGTTGACTTCTTATCTATCGAACTATCGTGTTTCCCTAATTAACGATCTTGGAGTCACTTTTGACAACAAGTTGTCCTTCAACGAACACATATCACTAACAGTTAATAAGGCAAGAGGTGTGCTAGCTTTTATCAAACGTTGGTCTAAAGAATTTGATGATCCTTTCACAACTAAAACTCTATACGTATCGTTGGTTCATCCTATCTTGGAATACTGTTCTAGCGTTTGGAGTCCGCAATACTTTGTTCACCAAAGGAGGATTGAATCTGTCCAAAAGCAGTTTCTGCTATGTATTTGCGTTAAAAAGCTTAAGCTGGGATACTGCCACTTCCCTCCCGTCGTATAATTGCCGGTTAAAACTACTAAACCTACCTCCTTTAAAAGAGCGCCGTACTTGTGCTGGGGTTATGCTACTTCATGTGCTTATTCTTGGACAGGTTGACTCACAAGTACTTCTTGAATTAATGTTTTTTTAATTAATTATTAATGTTTTCTGTGCCTAATAGAGTAACTAGATCCTTCCGACCCCTTTGATTATCGATTTCTAGGTCTAATTTTGCGGAACACGATCCATTTCGCGTTATTTGTAAAAATTATAACTCATTGTCCCATTTATTATCCCCTGAACTATCCCTAGATTTAATTAAATCCAAAATTATGGAATATCTTTTAACTTAATTTATCCTTACATTTAGTTATAATATTATAGAAATAACAGATCATTGTTAATAATAATAATAATAAAATAATTATAGCTGCCATATAACTTAACGATCGGAAATGGTTTTTGGTATAAATACAAACTTTGATATTTTTAAAGATAGAAGTTTGGGAATTGTTTTAAATTTTGTATTATTATAAATTAGGTTATATTATCATATTCTCATAAGGATCGGCCAACTATATCCGATGTTTGCGATATTTTGGGGCTCTGCCCGAAGTTAGCTTTCCTTTCTTGTTTTTTTCTTCTACGCAAACACTTAAATTTTAAACATGTTTGCGTTTTTCCCCCCACTGTTTTAAAGCGTAAACTATAAAGGTTAGTTAAATTGTGTGTGGAAGAGATGAGTACCGTGTACAATATAGTCGGGAAACTCGACTATAGCCGTCCTTTCTTGTTACATTTTTAAAGTATATCTTGGATAGTTTTATAACCTGCCCCTCAACTGCAATGGTGTATTAACGTAAGCTCTGCCCGAAGTCAGCTTTCCATTCATTTTAAATGTTAAATTTATTCTTTATGGTTGTAGCATATTATACCTTATTTTGCTTGATATTAAAGGTTAATTTACAAATTTTTATTCAACGTGAAAGAAAAAAACAATGAACTCACCTAAGTTTGTAATAGGACCAAACACCGTTTCATCATCAGTAACGCTACAGTTCCAACGGCGATTTTTAAATTGAAATTGGCATTCCTAGTAGAAACATGTAAAATTAATTTTAATTAAAGTAAGTTAATTAAATAAAAAAAAAAAATTAAAAATAAAAAATTTAGTTACACATTTAATAGTTATACATATATTTTTCCCATCAAAACATTAATTTAATTGCAATATATTTTTGTTAGAATCAGCAGAAGTAGAACGATTTATATTTTATATATATACGCTAAGAAGCTACGCAACGCTAAGCAGAAAGTACATAGCAATGTGCATTTATTGTGTGACCCGTTAAATTCTCGCTTTCGCTTGTGGAATGCTTTTGGATCTGACCAAATTTGGCACTTGTCTTGAGCTGAGCCACTAAACGGAGCGGGTGTGAATTTAACCCTAAATAAGTTAAAACGCTTGGCAGCTAACAATTAGTATTTTTTGTAAAATGTATACATCGTATGTAAATGTGTAAAAAGGAGAAGTGATCATCTCCAACTTTACTTTCATAAAGTATTCTTGATTAGCAAAAACATCGAAGTCAATATACTCAGTTTTATACAATTTTTAAGAATTAAAATTCTACCATTCTTTTTATACCCTTGCAGAGGGTATTATAATTTTGTCCAAAAGTGTGCAACGCAGTGAAGGAGACATCTCCGACCCTATAAAGCATATATATTCTTGATCAGGATCACCTCCTGAGTTGATATAAGCATGTCCGTCTGTCCTTCTGTCTGTCTGTTTCTACGCAAACTAGTCTCTCAGTTTTGAAGCTATCGTCTTGAAACTTTGCACACACCTTTCTTTTTCACGCAGTATCAAAGATTATACAGTACATAGATGGGACATCTCATACAAAGAAAAATTTTCTATGGCGGGTTCCATCAGTGGAACCCGCTGGAACGAGCGGGTTCCATTGCGCGACAAGTTAAGTTAGAGAAATTTTTCGCGAGACAACGAATGAGGAATAGCCGAGTGGTAGAGTGCTTGGCTGGTGTGCAAAGTAAAATGAGTTCAAACCAGGCTCGGGACATCCATTTTTTTTTAATTTTAAATCTATTTATATTATTGTTTTATTATTTTAATGTGTTTTCCTAAATTTATAATCCAATAAAAAAAAATACAAAATTGTAAAATCACCTTAACATCGTCTCTGTTCGTAGTGGAACCCGCTACAAAAATGTCTATAAGTGCGGGTTCTACGGCATTTTGGCAGGCCGCGTCGTGGAACCCGCTCTCAAATGTTTTCATTTTTTCCGTCGTGGAACCCGCTGTATAATGAAAACATTTGAGAGCGGGTTCCACGACAAACGCCTGGCAGATGAGATAGGGAGAGAGAGAATTCTATTTTTAGATCGTAACATCTTTGGAACGATGAAAGTTTGAAACGATGTAATCGAACCAATGTAAGAGTAAAGAGATCAGAAATATCTTTTACTATCCTTACTCGTCAACTCTGTTTTTGGTATAGATTCTAGCGCCTCCTTTAACACCAATTTTAAGTATCATAAGTTCAACTTCGAGGGTAGCCTAGATGGATAGTGCGTGGTCCTTATTCATAGGGTCCTGGGTTCGACTTCATTAGCGGGCGGTTGATTCGATTCTGATAAAGTTTTAGTTTTATGATTCTTTTTATATTTACTTTTATTTTTTTATTATTATTTTTAAATTAAAGTAAAAATAAGTGACGGACGTGTCGGATGACAAAATACCGGAAGGACTCCCTTGAAATTTTATTAGCCGTACATAATGAAGAATTATACAACTTTACAATTGTAAAATTAAAGAAAAATATTACAATTAAAGAAAAATAAAAAAAAAATAATTATAAAATAAAGAAAAGCTTAAAGTCCTTAAGAGGATTTGAACACGGAAAAATTACACATAGAGTAACTACTCTATGCATTACGCTACCATCCTGTCTCGATCTGCGGCGATCAAAAATACTATTTGTTCTACCAACTACCACATCGGCGCATCGAAAACAGAAACGAGAAATTGAAATTGAAATTTGGAAGCCAAAACATTTTTACTTCGTCGTGCGAGCAGTCACACATACACACATAGGTTAACATTTTTGTTGACGGATACATGGAAAGAGTTCTAAAAATAGAATCGTATGCATGTGCGTTCCCCCCTCACCAACAAGCTCGACGCAAAAAGTTGACCGTTTTGGGCCCTGATGTCCCATCTATGTACTTTATAATCTTTGGCAGTATATAAGTCGGAACGGCCCGGATCGGTCGACTATATCTTATAGCTGCCATATAACTGAACGATCGGAAATGACCCATCTTTCGTGTTTTTGAAGATAGAAAGCTGAAACTTAATACAGATTTTATTTTTGGCCAGTTGATCCAACCTACCAAATTTCACAAGGATCGGCTGACTATATCCTATAGCTGCCATATAACTGAACGATCGGAAATGACCCAACTTTCGGGTTTTTGAAGATAGAAAGCTGGAACTTAGTACTGATTATATTTTTAGTCAGATCATCCGACCTACCAAATTTTACAACGATCGGCCGACTATATCTTATAGCTGCCATATAACTGAACGATCGGAAATGGTTTTTGGTAGAAATACCAACTTTGGTATGTTTGAAGATAGAAGTTTGGGACTTTTTTTAGATGTGATATTTTAATAAATTGGATTATATATTCATATTCCCATAAGGATCGGCCAACTATATCCGATGTTTGCGATATATATCCGGTTTTAACTGCAAGGGTATATAAACTTCGGCTCCGCCCGAAGTTAGCTTTCCTTTCTTGTTTAAATCTTATATTTACTTAACTAACAGTCATATTAACTGACTCAGAGTTAGAGGGCCCTAAAAATCGATTGTTGGGTTGGGAGGTAGCAGGCGAAATCCGCTGGATCCCCGAGCGAGGACGAGCGAGGATTCAGATTGGCTTTAGGAATGAATTGTAGAGTAGTTACTTTTAGTCCAGGCACAGTGGCGATCGTGAGTTTATGATCCAGCGGAGGCTGCTAGCTTTTAGTTTTAGATGCATCTTCTTGCATTTGATGTGATTACATGTTAACTCTTGTTCGTTTATTTTTATGCGTCAGTCGGACAGCCACCTTTCCACTACTATGAGATAATTAGCAAGTTGGTTTGTTTCTTGTGTTGGGCATCTGGAGCGACTAAGGATATCGGTATCATCGGCGAACGTTGACCGGAGTTCCAATAGCAGCCTCACGTATGAGCCCAAGGCCTACAAAAGGCATGTTAACTCGCATAATACAGTATCTGGAAGACTGTAATATTATCCCGGCACACTAATTTGGCTTTCGAAGAAACCACGGAACCATCGAGCAAGTGAACAGATTAACATCCAAAATACGCTCAGCCTTCGAACAGCGAGAATACTGCAGCGCTATTTTCCTCGACGTATCTCAAGCTTTCGACCGAGTTTGGCTCATCGGACTCATGCACAAAATTAAAACGTATTTGCCAACATACACCCACTAGCTACTGAAATCATACCTCTATGATTTCATACCTCCTATATGCGTGGATGATGAAATATTTAGATGGGACAATTAGACTCCCGAAATCACTATCTGAGTGATAATTTTTCTGAAATAAAAATATTTTACTCGCGCTAATATGGTTTCGTCCTGTTTCATTAAATCTATTTTGCAAGTGTCACAATTTATTTTAGGAAGTGTCTTTGAGGCCACATACCCTATAAAATATCTGTCAGAAACAAGTTTTAAATTAAAATTAACAGATCCAAAATAGTCATTATCTATGTCATGAATGGTATCTGTGTTGAAATTGTTTATGATGTCTTCGTCAAGTAATTGTGCTACGTTTAAAGAATTTTCACCAGGGGTCATTAAAATAGTTGGTCGCTCAAGCGCCTCGTCAATTTCACATTTGGCAGATGAACTATATCTAATAACTTTAACCCTCGTACACGCACATATTTTAAAACCTTATTCCACGCACATGGTGCCTGGACAGACCCCTATACGTTTACATGCATTTGTATGGGAATTAGAGTTGCATGCGGTCGAATTTTTACCTTGAATAGGTAAATATTTTTATTTCTTACCTTTTTATTTTATTTTGACTCTTATCTAGTATGTAAGGAAAAATAAACTTGCAAAAATATCCAGAATGTGAGAGAAAACAACTTTTTCTTTCGTCCTTTTTTATCATTTATTATGAGGCAAACAAAAGTTAATACAAAAGAAATGGAATTGTAATGAGTTTTTTAGTGAAACATAACATCAAATTTCTTTATGTCTTCTGGGGAATGCATGTGAAGCATATATATTCGATTTTCGAATGTTGTTGACACACCGGATTCGTACATTTACAGCAGTATAAGCGAGTTTTGCGACGCCGCTAATAATCGTGCCAGGCAGGATAATCTGGCCAGGCACCAAGTCCATGTAAAAAGGTGCGGATTTTAAATCTTTTTTTTGGTCTGTTTTAAGGACTTTTTTCAATTATAAAATGCACATATCGGAAGCCAATAGAATTTGTGGAGATTACCTGGAAACAATTTTCGATATCTAAATTGGGAGTAAGTTAAATTAACGTTATAAGTCGAAATATGCCTGGCCAGATCCATGTGCGATTAGATTATTGCCCTTTCTGTCTTAACACAGCAAAAGTGTTTTCTAGGCAGTCCTGGTTAAAAGATTTAGTCATAATGAATAATTTAGTTTCGTTTTGAAAAAGGTCTTGAGAAGATAGCATAACAATAGCATTTAAGGTCATCCCAATTCCATTCACGTCCTTTATATTTTGAAAATATTTTATAAATTCTAATGACTCGCTATTTTTTTTCAAGGCCGATCTATATTTATTTTGTCCATATAAGGTTCCACTATTCATGCAGTCAAAAATTGTATCCACCTTTTCTATAAGTACTGCCGTAGATATGGCTAAATCTTTAGACACCCAATTAAACTTGACAGTATCAAAAATTGTTTCACTGGCCGCCTGAACTGTTTTAATAAATAACTGTGTCGCATATTTTACTCGCATTTTTATACCCTTGCAGAGGGTATTATAA